AATGTTATTGGAACACCTTTCTATTCCAATAGTACCTATGAAATCTAACCAACTAATATAGTAATGTTTCTAGTGGGAAAGAAAGGACATCTCCCACCACCTCAGTTTCCTGTTCATACTACTCGCATCTGCCCCCCTCAGGTGCAGTCTTGGGAGACAGCATAAGTTGTTAATGTTGACTCTCAGAGAAATCTTTAGGTACATTTTAGTCTCAAAGGAATTGTCACTTTTGTTCAGAGGTCTCTTCAACAACAGGATTAATCTGGTTATTCTTTTCCTAGCTCACCTCCTCCTAAGTCGTCCTGTTCTTTTTCCACCATTCTCCAAGGCCTTTGTACTCAAAGTGCTGCCTAGGACAATCATTATCTTTGTCAGGGAGCTCTTGGAAATGCAGATCTCAGGTCCCATCCCAAACTTCCTCAGTCAGAATTTCACCTTAACTAATGCCCGAGTGAGTAGTGTACATTTAAGATTTTAAGAAATATTGCATTTCTGTCTCTAAAGGAGACACTGTTACATAGACTTGCTGTTTCACCTTTTTTGAGTATTAGGAAAACAATCAAACTACAAAGTTCTTCCACAGTCCCATTCATGCTAGAAGTGGTGAGAGATGGGTCATTCTGTGAACATGCTGCTGCCTATTGACAAGTGGTTCTCAGCCCTGGCTGCACCATTAGAATCACCAGTGGATCAACTACTTCAAAAGTAACAATAGTCCCAGGACCCACCCCAGACCAATATAATCACATTATCTGTGGTGAGCTACTAGTCACTCAAAGATAAGTAAAGCTCCCTTACATTTCAAAATGGATGCTCTGAACTTCAGTGTTCCTGTTGTGGGATTTTGGAAAAGATGTAGAATGCAGTGGGTAACATGTGTGTTTGGGATGTGGACAGGGAGTAGAAAGGAGTAGAAAGAAATACTCAGGATACCGGAGGGGTATGAAGAGTTCAGAGACATGGGGGCACACAGGGATGAAAGAGAAAAATGAGAAAGCAATCCTATAGAGCAGGCCTCTGGAAGATTTGCTGAGAAGCATTCACATCAAAAGAACATATATACAAGAATTTGTCTACGGCCGGGCCTGTGTGTGTACAGAATTAGCCCAAACTCCCTTCCTTCTGTAGCAGTAGGCTTGCATTCAAAGGCTTATCTTTGTCTAAACATAAGAGACAAAGATCCTCCTTTATAACAGAGTTTTGAGACTTGAGAACTCTGGCAATGTGAGTACCAGGACTCCTTTATGCCCTTTAACTTTCTGGGCCTTAATTTTTTAAAGTAGCCTGACTTAAGTGTCATTGGCGTTTATCTCAGTGAGACCATTGAAATACAGAATCAAGAATATTTTTGAGTGAACTTTTGTGAATTCTTGTAATATTAAATGCACTGTGATGATTACATTCTGTCAACAGTATGCTTACAGATTCTCTCTGCATAGCTTATGCCTAGATTATCCTTAATTGACTCTCACACTCAGCTTTTCGACAGCCAATTTCTCTTTTGTGCCAGAAGTCTTAAATGTTAAAGACAGTGTTGTATCTGGCGGCTGAGTCAACAGTGCATGGCTCATAGTGGCATACCGTAGCTAATATGATTTAAAATTGCATCAGTACTGTAGAAATAAGGTCCTTTGTGATGCCATTTCTTTTCTCTTAACCTTTTACAGGTGGAAGCAAATTTTATAGTACTTTTTTTCTATCAATACTGAAACTAACCTGGTATTTATTATATCACAACTATCACTGATGTAGAAAGGATCAAGAATGTATGCACATTCAGAAATTATGCCCATCTATTTCTAATATAGGTGTTACAGCAGTTTCAAGAATCCATGGATCATTGCTTAGTTTATGGAAAGAAGGAATGCCCAGAAACAAACAGCTAGAAATCTTATTCAAATGGCTAAACTTTCTCCCATTCTTCCTGTAATGGGTAAAAGAATGAAGACAATAGAGGTTAATAAAGATAGGAGGGAGGAGAAGACTGGAAAGGTTTGTTAACAGTTACAAATTTACAGTTAGGAAGTTCTAGTACAGTAACTATAGTTATTATTTCAAGAGCATCAAGAGAGATTTTTTATGTTCTCACTATAAAGAAATGATCATTGTTTGAGTAACTGATACGTCAATTACCTTCATTTGATCATGACAAATTACATACATATATTTAACTGTACATTGTACACTTATAAATATGGAGAATTTTTATATGTCAATTACAATTTTTAATAAAAATTAAATTGAAAAGGATTCATAGGTCAAATGCCCTGAAAAACTGCCCTTATCTATATGACCACTATGGTTGTCTAAATGCTTTAAGGACTTACTTAGTTTTCAACATTTTTACTACTTTGAACTATAAGGTATCAACAAGGCTTTCTTTGTGGTAAGGGTAGAAAACCTACAGCATTGCCCCACTGGGGCCTTTTCCCTTGTCCTTTTCCTGCCTTCCCACCTTACACACTCAGCTGCTTTCTGCTGTGAGAACCTTTCCACACCAATGTTCTGCCTTTGCTTCCCAATATTCTCCTGGTCCCAGAGACATAACACACGATGCAGGTCAGCTCAGAAGTACCTCCCATCATTCCACCCATGCAAAGTTAATATGCTATAAATGGCTTTAAGCCTCTCTTGTTTAATATTTTAATCTTTAGAAGTTTAAGGACTAAATATTTCTTCATAATTATTCCATTTCCCTGTCCCTTAATTTTGTTCATTGGTTTCACTCTTAGTACTACCAGATGGTGATAGGAAAAAAAAAATTAAATCAAATGCTCTATGCTCATTGAATTGATAACAATGATCTCAAAGAAGAAATCTTCAGAGAATCCTATCTGTTTCATGTCTCAAGACAAATGAAACTTTTTTACTATATGTTAAATATTGATCCTTATATTTACAGACAAGCATACTGTACACCACTCATCAAAGAAGCTTCTTTTTGTAACAGATGGAGGCTACTACAGAACTGCACAACTGGTCAGATACAGAGAACTTATGTCTGAGAGATGCCCAGTACTGGGTGATACATCTACAGTTGAACCTTTACAACCAAGGCACATGGAACATAGTGGAATAAGGGGCAGAGAGAAAACTAATGCATCCGTCAGCTCTCACCAGTAAAGCTTCCTTATACAACAGAGAGTGATGCACATAGAAGGCCACAACTGGCCAAGTTTTAAAAAATAAGAGACTGTAGAGTGTAGGCTAGGACTCCTATATGGAATCTCATCCACCCACAGCTCAGGGACCATTGTGGAAGAGGGGGCAGAAAGATTATAAGAGCCAGGGATTGTTCATGAACACAGGGAAGCAGAGACTTCCAGGCCACTGGAAGCTTGCACATGTGAACATGTGGTAATGGTGGCATTGAGCACAGGACCCATGTCAACACAATTAAACAAGGGCCCAAAGGGGAGGAGAGAAATAGGTGGCAGGCCAGCACTAGACTGAGAACTATTTGAGACTGATGGCTGTTGTGTGATGGAAGAGTATGATTTACATGCAATCACTACATGGCTAACTAGACTCCAGTGGACACATTTATATTGAAGGACATTTGGGTACAAATGCTTGAATGAATAGGACTTAACTTGTATGGCAGAATACATGAATTTTGGTGGGAGAATGCAGGAGGCACGGATGGGTGAGGGGATCTAAATTTTATTAAGAACTGTTGTACGAAATTACAAAAGCTCAATAAAAAATATAAAAAAAAGAAGAATCTTTAAAAGACAATTCATTGGGAGATGTCTTACATTCATATTTAGTAATAAATTAATTTTACTGTCAAACTTTTGCCAGTTTCTATAAAAATATAAATATCATGTACATTCTACTAGAAGAAATTATTCTGGCTATTCAAAGTAACACACATATGTGGAGAGAGCCATAGACCCATTCATAAATATAGATCTAGAATCTATAATAATGTAAAATATATGACTCTATTAACATATGGGAACATAGTATTATGAATCTACCTATGTATGTTATAAAAATATAAGGTACACAAATCTACCTATAACTATCTGACTCTGAATATTTATATTCATATATACACATGTGGATCTAGAAAAGACAGAAAAATTCTTCTAGGAGATAATCAAGAATATTAAAAAAACATTCTGGACTTTAATTTTGGACAATTTTATCAAGATAAATTTTTAATGAATTTTTCTTGGGCTATATGAATTAAAATTCTTAAAGCAGTGCTCATATGGCATTTGGGGAAACTCTGAGGCCCTTATACCTGAAGCATAAAGACACTAGCAGAGAATGCATGTCAATCAAATGTAACAACATTCCAAAGCAATCTTGCACACAATTGTTACCAGAAGACTAAACACATTTTCATTTACCACCCTTTTGTAGAGGTTACAACCAAGCATTCCAAGTGATATTGTGGTGATGCAGAAAACAATACCTGAGTCCCTTTTGAAAGCAGCTGGGGAAGGTCCTTAAACACCACAAAACCTAGGCTTCTAGGCACACTACTCTCTTTACACTGATGAAGACATAGATTGCTGAAGAAATATATGCCAAGTATACCTCACTGCCAAATTTTAATTTTTAGCTATTTTCCTATGAATCAACTCAGAAAATAAGTATGATTTTAAAATATTTTAAACATTCGTCTATATAATTGACTTAATGTGAGCTAATTCTTCTCCTGACATTTTCCCTTAACATTTTCTTTGTGAATACAAAAAAAAAAGGTACTGGCAATGTCATATAGTACCAAGATATTGTAATTTGGATTCCTAAGAGAACATAATTTTTATACAAGTAATTTATTTTTCTAGATCCATTTTAACACAAATTGTAAATTGATACCATCATTTCAAAGGATTTTTCACCTGTGTTTTCTGGAGTTTCATAGTGTTTAGAGTTGGTTTCGCCCTTTAGAATAAATTCTGCTTACCAGATTGCCTTCATCTTTCTATAATCATAAAACATAATTATTTTATTCTCAAAATATTTACAGGTGAGAGTCTTACCCCTAGGTATAATAAGATTCCATAGAAGATGAATTTCCAGAGAAAGCAGCGCCGAAGGGCATTGATAAGCTTGGGGTTCTTCTTTGAAGCTTGTTCACTGTCCCATTCTCTGCCACAGAATAAAAATTAAACCAGTGAGTTGCAGGTACAAATATCTGAGCTGTTCTAGCTCCCCTCATGTGTCCAAGAAGATTAACTGAAGTGATTAAAGGAACAAGGCCTTGTAGAGACTCTTCAGTACCAACTACTCAAACAGATATTTGTCAGAATTTGATGCTCTGCCATATATCACTCTGAAGAATTTCACTTCAAGAAAATATCATATTGTTTACATTAAAGAGAAGTGCTAGGCTTCTTGATAGCAATGGCATGGGCACAAATGAAGTACAACAGTCATAGATGCAGTCTGTGCTCAGAGCAAGGCAAAAAAAATATGTTTTTCCTCTTATTCTATGACACTGATATTTTTGAACTTAGCAGATTTTACAAATTTCTCTGTCAAGTCAGAAGCAAATTAAAGCATCAGGTATACTGCTATATTAACATGAGAAAAATCCATTTAAATTTTAAAAGGCAAGGCATGAGAGAATCATCATTAAACTTTGTGGTCTAGTAGTTAAATCATTCATTAGCATAAGAGTCTTTGAAAATAGAGCAAAATAAAAGCAAAACGTTTATAGTAAGAGTGGTCATTAAACAATGTTGAAATAGTGACTGACTTGCTGTTTTATTTTAAGCACTATACGAACATCAGCTTATTGTTCTTAGGTTGTTGTCACTTTTCCATTAAGAAAAAAAATCTTTTAAACTTCACAGTGGAATAAAATATTCCTCAACATTATCTTTCTTTTAATTTTCAAGTTATGCTGATATGAAAACTTTTATGAACCACAGGCAAGAAGGGAATAATTTCATCAGTGACTATTCTCATTGCTATCAAATTACCATAACTAGACATGGTTCTGTACCACTTTAAAGAAAGAACACACAACTGAGATTGTCTCTGTGCATGGACCACAACTTCCCCAAGGAAACTTGCTAATGATAACCTACCTAGAAGCCTCAACAACCTTTTTCCTATCTGCTCCCACATTCTTCCTCCACTTTTCTTTCACACACATGAAGCTTACATCTCCAATCATAATGATTAGTCACAAAACAGGACAAGAGCCTAAATAAGTAGAACCATCTTCCCCACACTTATAATGGAGGAATGGGTCTGCTGGGAAATCTAGAGGGGAGAACAGTCCATAAACCAAAGAAATGGTTTCAAGATGAAGATTTCAACAATAGTGGAGTAATACAGGAAGGTGTCAGGTTTCATAAGCAAGAAATCTGGTGTCAATCATCAATGGAGTTTTAGGAACATGTCCAAATGGAAGCCATATTTCATGAGCTGAGATATAAATGGATGATAAAGAAGTGGACAGATCAGAAAAACAGGGAACTGTTAGCTATGAAATGGGGAAAGAAGTAATGATAGGTGAAGGGAAAGCTGGAAGTTGTTTTAATGGATGGTACTTGAGTAATTTATAGCTACAGAGCAGGCATTAGCAACAAGAATAAGTGGTATGGATCCAACAGTGTGTTCAACAGGCCCAAACCAGGAAGGAAGGAGTTCTACACTTAGAAACTCATAACTTGGTTTCAAAAGCAGAATAAATCTGTGGTTTTCACACCGCAGTGACACAGAGGTTTGAATCAGAGTAACCAATATATCTCAACCAAGTGGCAAAATCCTCACAACCTGGGGATCATTTCCTAAGGGGGTAGAGGAATATTTCAATAAATTCCTAATATGAAATAGGATGAAGAAGATATAAATCAATAGCAACAATAATGATAAAGGATAGAATTTATGAACTGGAGCAAAGAGTTTGAACTGAAACAAAATAGGCATATTTTAAAAACTCAATCAAAATGAGGATGATAAAACTAAGGCAAAAAATAACGTCAGGTCACATAATTTAAAATTTAGGTGTAAGTTCTCTACTTGGCCAAAAAATGAGACAGAGAGAGGGAGAGGGAGGGAGGGAGGGAGGGAGGAGAGAAGGAAGGGGAAGGGAGGGAGGTAGGGAGGGAGGAAGAAGGAAGGAAGGAAGGAAGGAAGGAAGGAAGGAAAGAAAAGACTATAAATATAACATATTTCTCAATTAATCTCACCCTACTCTCACTAACTTCCATCAATATTTCAGTTAGACCCACCTATTTTGATCAAGTACATTATTTTTAATTTGATGAATCATACAATATATTACATTGATGTGTATCTCTAGTAATGTTTTGGGTTTTTACATAAAAATAGCCTTGTCAGGGATGGAGCAATGGCTCAGCAGTTAAGAGCAATGGCTGCCCTTGCAGACGATCCAGGTTCAATTTCCAGCACCCACATGCTTGCTAATAACCATCCATAAATCCAGTTCCAGAGGATCTGATGCCATCTGACCTCAGCAGGCATTGCACGATATGGGTGCACATACACACATGCAGGCAATATACTCATACACATAAAATAAAAATAATAAAATATTTTTTAAAAAATATAAAAATAAAAATAGCATTGTCACATTCTATCATTCAATCATTCATTCATTCAGCAAATGATTACAGAATATGAACTCCATTCCAGGCCCCATTCAAGATACTTAAGGACACATCATGAACAAAACAGATTAAGCCAAACTAGATCAGGCCAGCCTGTGTTATACAGAGAGCTGAGTTTAAGGCCAGCTTGGGTTACACAATGAAATCCTCCTGTTTCAAAAGACCAAAGGCTAAAAATGTGGCTCAGTGGTAGACTGCTCACCAAGCAAAGGAAAGGCTCTGCATTCTGTCCCTACTTCCACAAATATTTTGGGGGAAAATGTACATAATTTGCTTAATAATGACGTTATTTTAGTCTTCCCAAAATATATTTTCTTTAAATAGAGGTAAAGTAGCTAAATGTAAATGTTTTATTCTTTAAGTAAAAAAAGTCATGTTTTAAGAAAATGATTATCATTCATGTTTTAATTCTTGAGTTGGTTAGTATTTCAGCAAGAGTTTAAAATGTTCCTCTTTTAAACGTCATTTTTAGACTTATACCCTATAATATGCCAGGTTTCTGTTCTCTAAATAATAATATAAATGTCTTTCTTCAACTAGTCAAGCCATGAATAAGATCATACCTTTCTAGTTTTTCAGACACGTGGTCAGCTGAATCAGAAGAAGGGGCTTGGTATATGTCTGACAACTCCAAGCGCTGTCTGTACCCTTTCCTCAAAATTGGTGTGGTCCAGCTAAAAGAGAGGAAGGCAGATAGATAAATTCACTTATTTAGGTCTCCAATTTAGACATGCAAACTGGCACTAATTTAAATCTTGTCATGTAGAAAATACAGTATGCACATATAAATATGGCAGTAAAATATTACAATTTTTATAAACACAATAATTCATATCTTAATATATCTATATAAAACATTAATACCTCTGAAATGATGTCATTGCTTTGTTCTAAACAGATAAGGAATCCATTATAGTATAATTCTTCCCAAGGGCACAAAGAGACTGGTGAACTGAAGATGACAGGCAGTTTATCAATACTCAAATCATTTTGTCACTATAGCCCAGTGTACTCAACAATGAGTTAAATATTAAAGGAATCTAGTATGTAAATAGTAAATACTTTGTATCAGTTTTCTGGCTTATTTATGCCTAAACCATCACTTGAGTAGGTATTTTCATCATATGTGTTCTCTCCTCATCCCACAACAAGCAAACATATCTGCCTTCTAGTGATCTAGTAAGTAACAATTTGTAATGGAGATTACAGAAGCTGGCACAGCAAATAATCAGGTTAATCCTGGATGCTCATACATGCTGCTTTTACCTTCACAGAGAAAAACATTTTAATTTTAAAAAAGGGAGTTGGAAAGGCAGGAAAAGAGAATTGTGAAAGGAATAAATCATGTACAAAGAGAAATTTCTAAAGAAAACTGGAAAGAATAAGAACTTTCTTAGGTGTAAAAAATGAATTCATCTTGATACAGGAGTCCCCCTACTATGCTTTCTCCCTCAGCACCTCTTTTTGTACCAGAAAATTCTAAGATTTGTTGTCATTGAGACTGCATGGTAACATCAAAATGCATGTTGAAACCACCAAAAGTCAGTATCTGAGAGGCAAGATGAACTAATAGAAAAACAAACTCCAGCAGGGTCATTCAAAAGGGTAAGAAGAAATAGCACGCCAAATGCAAATACTTTAATATGTTCCGGGGCAGAAAGTTGCAGGTAACCCTCAGATTTACCCTCATCCCTCCATTTAAGAGTCCAGATTCTCCTTTATATTTAGTCACTGGCTTGCTCAGAGAGCCCATTGTTATGTTCCTAATAGTTCTATAATTTGTCTTTCATGAAAACACATCTGAATTAGCTAGGTGTTTTAGAGCACGCATGCAATCCCAGCACTAAGGAGGCAGAGGCAGGAAGATCTCTGTGAGTTCAAAGGCAGCTTGGACTGCACAGAAAGTTCCAGGTCGGACAGGACTACGTAGTGAGAATCTGTCACACACACAAAAAAAAAAAACAGGCTCAGCTGAATTAGGGTCTATCCCTAAGACAGGGCCATTTTTGCTAAGATATTAACAAGTGGCTGTGGCTGTGGCTGTGGTTCAGTATATCATTTTTTCCCTTTAACTTCTGAATTTATGTTTTAACAAGAGCCTTCTTTAACAAAGGGCAATAATTAGGTTTGGTCCCCATTGTCCAATCTGACTCACTGGCCATTCTGCTTGGTGAAAATAGATGAAATCAGGCTGAATGACGAAGGAAAAGTGTTTAACAAACACACAGAACCTGCAGTGGACATCTGAAAAAATGTGGCACAACTAAGCAATTACCACTCCAGAATCTCACAGATAGAAAGTGAGGTTGAAATACAGGTGGCAATTAGTCTAAGGAAAATTGAGATTGTAACGTGGGATATGATTTGGATAATTAGCCTTTGTAAACTTCAAGCCAAGAAAAGTGAAGGTAAAGCAAGATTTTACTACCAATGAAAATGTATGTGTTTAGTATTTCCCAAAAAGCTTTCACAATCATTAACATGTGGTCATTTTCATGAAATTCTGATAAGCAGAAAGTAAAAAGGGATTTGCCTTATTACAAGAATAAAGAATGGTACTGAGAGATGTAAAACTTGTCCAAATTACTAATGGAAAAGATTTTTCCACATTTTTCTGAATTCATTCTTTACCATATTCAACTTCTCCTACCTAAAGAATCAAGCACAGTGGGTTGTTTTAGTTAGACACAACTAGGAGACTCTGAAAGGAAGAAAACAAACATTAGTAGGCTATAGATAGGTGTGTGGTATACCTTTCTCCAGGAAACAAAAGCAAAAACTGACCAATAGCACTGGCCATTTTCTATGGTATAAATATTCTAAGATCACTTTCAAGCTACCTAAGATGAAGCCATTGAACACAGAGTTGGGATGAGAAACAGGCTGCATATTATAACAGTATGTCCACCATCTCAAATACAGTGAACACAAATGCCCTCAATAGTGTAAAAGCAAGGTATATATTTAAAAAATGGAAAGCCCTTCCATGTGAGTCTATCCACTGGGCCCAGGAAGAGTCCCAACTCGGTAAGACACTGACTTTTTCCGTCACAGCAGTTATCAATTGCCAAAAGTTCCTTGGGTGGGTTAGGATTTCTTGCCCACTTCCCTATGTCTATGAAAGACATTTAGGGACATAAATCAGACTCTATAGGCCATATTATATGTATATAAAAATATATTAAACTGGGCAGGGGACAGTGGGGGATGGTTTGGACAGGGAAGGAAATCTAAATACCATCAAACTATATTGTATGAAAATTGCAAAAAATTCAATAAAAATAGAAAGTGATAACATTTTGAATCTTTGTTTCAATATAATTTACATTCTGTTATTTGATATTTAATCATGCCTATGTTTAACAACTAGTTCACAAATATCTTGATTATTTACAATCATCTCAGATAAAAAGACACAACTATAGTAAATGTTTGAAAGCTTAAAATAAGGGTAATGGCACTAGAGACAGAAAGAATGAGGATCTGTAGAAGACAATGAAAAGAAAATGTGCTCTACCTATTAGCAACCTAGCATTTTCAATATATTTGATATTATTAAAATAAAATACTAACATCATAAGTGAACAGTTTCACTATTTTTAAAAGAATGCCTCAAAAGACATTTATAAGTAATTTTTGAATCTTCTTAATCTCTTAAACAATATAGGCATGATTCTGTTGGTATGTATCTAACGTTTGATGGCTACTCCCATAAATGAGATTCCAGCTCAGTTCAAAGTAAAACAATTGTGGGCTGCTTTTACAGAGATCTTTTGTTATCTCAAACCATTTTAGAAAGTTATGTCATACCATGACACCAGGTTTTAATTACCAAGAGAGCCATAGCTCATTAGTATCAAGCCAATCAAACTCAGTAGTTTAAGACCCAAGTTCACCATTTACAATTATTAATATTATTTAGTATTTCTTGGCAGTTCTACCACAGTAAACCTGTATTTATGTATCCCAATTGAAATTTTATTTAAAGTAAATTATTAAAAATTAAAGTCTTTTAATTTTAGGCTGCCTGCAGTCACCACAGAGTCATCTTAGAAAAAAAAATTGCTTTGTGAGATTAAACCAATAACTTGAATGAAATTTCTCCTATCAAGGAGTTATCCATGCCAGCTACAGGCTAGTCTGAGAATAGACTGAGGCCAATATAACAATGTTCAAATGGGGAGTTTCACCTCAAAATTTCTTCCATTAGAAATTAGAACATACTCAGGTGTTTCACCAGGTTGAACGGGTTTCCTTGAAATAGCCCAAAGCGACATGCTGCTGCTCTTTCCTCCATCTGCCATTGCTTCTCCTATCTTCTTCCCTCACCTCTAAGTGACCTGTGTCTCTTCTTCATTCATAACCAGTCACTAAATATTTTCAGTGGAACTATAAATTGTCATTCCAAGAGATTCTGATACTTTTCAAAGTTCTGTCTGTTTCTAACACAAACTAGCCAATTAATTATAAGATAGCAGACAGAGACTCATAGCATATGCAGATTTTTATACTTTACTAGCATTCAGACAAAGGCCACTCATCTCAGATACAACATTCTGTTCACTTAACCATAAGAAGCTTCAGGTTTTATTAAGAGAAAATGCAAACATTTTATTTTTAAAATTGGCACATGCGCACGTGCAACTATGCTACTGTGTTATATTTAGTTCATTTCATTTCTTTGGGGAAAAATATCTAATCTTTATATAAAATAACTTGTAATTTCTTATAATGAAATTAATTTGTTACCAGAGGTTAAAGGCAAAAGCCTCTGCTCCAAGAGTCCCAATGAGAAGGCTTGGCCATCTGTCCTAATATGCCAATTTAAGAAATAAGCAGTGATGAAGAACAGAGAAAGTTTTCATCAAAGTGGGTACATAGGAGAGAACAGATAAAGGGTTCAGAGACCAACCACATTCATCTTCAGAATATTGACAAGAGTTTTAGGCTTAAATAGAAGAACAAAGGCAGAGGAGCAAGAGATATGCATAGCTCGGTAGTCTTGGTCAAACTGTGGCCTGGTTCCAGTTGTTCTACAAGGTAGTTCAAAGATGTCTCTACTATTTTAGAAGAAAAGCTACTTCCCATAAGACAGATGCTCCTGAGTGGGGCCTGATTCTTACCATGATAGAATGGCCTATCTGTGCATCTCTGCTGTCCTGGAATCCAATGTGACTGCAGGCTTATGAAATTCACTGGAGACTTCCAGTTACAGTATAGAAGTCTAGAAAAGAACACTGTAGAAGGGACAGTAAAGGTCCTCACTCACTCTTATCTTTGTGCAGCCTTGGTGGGAGGTGAGATAGCTTAGATATCATCAAGTTTTAGATAGATAGTCCTTGAGTGGCTAAAATATTGATGTGCAAAGTTAAGCAAGAGTCTGACCTAACATTTTAGGATAAGGAGACAGATGTAAAATTCAGGCAAGGATTCCAGGTTTTGCCTGTGTTTAGTGACCTATGAACCCAACAGAAGTCAGGGCTTTCAGCAAAAGAAATTTCTAAGTTATGATCATAAAATTGTCTATTTTAATTACTAATAGAATTTTGGTTTTTTCATAAAACCTGTCCTCCTTAATCTGCATAATTAAAGCTTATAAACAGTTTTCTGATATTTGAGTTAAGCCAACAGAGAGACCTGATATTTTCATCTGCTAAAACTTGATACGAAGGTCAGACAGCAGATATTTTCAAA